TGTGCAAAATTTTCTGACATATATATATATATATATATATATATATATATATATATATATATAAGTGTAAATTTTATAGCAAAGTTGAAAAAGTTAAATTTTGACGCGTTTCATACTTCAGGATAAGTAAATTGGATCGATGAAACGCGTCACAAGTAAACTTATCCACTTTGTTATCAAATTTCCCCTATACCGTTCATGATATATAAAAATATATAATATTTTCTCATATATATATATATATATATATATATATATATATATATATATATATATATAAAAATATAAAAGGCTCCAACACTAATATTCCATGGTTATAATTTATTACAATGGAATCGTAATCACGATCCAATTTATCAGACTTAAAAATTCAAAAAGAAATCGGAAAATATATCTCCGGGTATATTTTCGACGTAGGAAGTTGTTTTCTCCTTTGATCAGAGTAGGATTTTTATGTCAAAATTGTGGTCAGACTCGTTACGGTGGGCAACGAAAGCATTTGATGTATTATTTTGTAAAATATCCCTTTTATGTTCATGTAATCTTTGTTTTAGGTTCTTTGACACTTCTCCTATGTATTTTGCAACAATTATTACAAACAACAGAGTAAAATCCTCCTTCAGGTTTTAGTTTATTGATTTGTCTAGTACTAAGTCTTTTTCTATTGGTTTGTAAGTAGTAGTAACAAATTTTACATTGAGATTAGATACATTCTTTTCGATTGTAGATAGACTTAATAGGCAGGATAATTTATTTTTTATTTATTTGGTTTCTCAGGAGGGGCCGTTCTTATGTTTTGTAACATTTTATAGGACTTTTGTTTTGCAATGAATATAAAAATAGGATAATGAAAAAGTTTGAAAGTGATTTCAGTGTATTCCTCTTCTTACTGTAAATAATCCGAGCTGCATATATATGGGTATTTTAAAATATTTTTTTATGTAGCCGAATTCAATTCGTGTCTTTTACTTTTTCTTTTCATCACTTTTGTTAGTAGGTATCGCTCATTGTGATAATAGAAGATTTGCCAGGAATGGTGAAATGTTGTAAGAGCCAGAGCGCAAATTTACTGTTGTTGACCTTGTCATCAAGGCTGTCTCTAGGCATTTACATCGTAGTGAATTGTTTTCTCCTTTGATCACATTATGTATTATGTCATAATTGTTACGGTGGGCAACGAAAGCATTTGACGTATTATTTTGTAAAATGTCCCTTTTGTGTTCATGTAATCTTTTATTTAGATTCCTTGGGGTTTCTCCTATGTTCTTTCTGTGAAAATTATGAAAAAAATAAAAAATAAAGTTAAAACTTTAAAAATTAAAAATTCCCAGCATCCCTTGTTCGTGCGCATGCGTATTTGCACCAACATAACAAATTCAGTCTGATGAAGTCCTACAGGACGAAACGCGTCACAAGAAAACTTTTTACTCTTTGTTATACATTTTCCCCATATATATATCATCTCCTTTCATGAAGAAATGATGGTATAATGTCAGAATTCTTTAACGTCACAAATGGCACCAAGCAAGGTTGTGTTATGGCCCCTGTTCTTTTTGCACTTTTCTTCTCTGTGATGCTGAAATATTTATTTGCAGACACAGAGAGGCGTCAAGTTTCAGTTTCGAACAACTAGTGACATCTTCAATCATCAGCGCCAAGACCCACCTTCATACACAAATTATTCGTGATTCATTGTTTGCTGATGATGCTGCTCTTATTGCGACATCCTTTGAGGAGGCCCAATATCTAATAAATCGTTTCTCTGCTGCATATAAAGCATTTGGTCTTACACTTAGCATAAAGAAAACAGAAGTAGTGCACCAACCTTGTCCTACTCCGAAGCAATTCCTTGGTGTGAAACAAAAACCACCAGTCTACGAATTTCCAGAGAGCCCATAGAAAGTAGAAGACATATCCCTGGACTATGTAAAGTCTTTCACCTATCTTGGTAGCAAAGTCATATACAGTGGAACTTTAGATGATGAAATCATGCATCAGATTACTAAAACTACCAGTTCTTTCGGCAAATTTCGCCATCGTTTGTGGGATGAGCTGGGTATCCGACTGGAAACGAAAATTCGGGTTTACAGAGCTGTTGTCCTTACCATTCTTTTGTCGTGGAATCCATACAGTTACCATATACGCCAGATGGATTTTTTTCCATAAGAGTTGTCTGCATGCTATTTGTGGAGTTAGATTTCAAGACAGGATATCCAATGTAGACCTGTTTAACAGGTGTAATATTGGAGGAATCGAAACTTTCGTCATACAGTCTCAGTTGCGGTGGACTGTTCATGTCTTGAGAATGTCTGAGGACAGGATACCCAAGATTCTAATATACATCCAGTTAGATCAGGGCTGCATGAATGTAGGACGCCCATGAAAGTACTAAACGAAATGGAGTTTCAAATGGCTGCAGAAATACAAGTAAAGCACAATACAACGACCGAAGCTGCAAAATACTTAAAAAAGAAAGCAAAAACAATTACAATCGACCAGATACAGAAACAATAGCAAGTTAAACCGCTTCATGGCTAATACCCAGCCCGTACCAAACAGGTTGATGTAGACAAGCCGCGTACCCATCAGTGGCTACGTAGTGCAGGGTTAAAGTTCAAACGAAAGGTTTTATCCTTGCTGAACAGGATCAGTGATTGTTAACTGGAAATTATCAAGCACACATACTAAAATATTGTGTTATCCCAAAATGCAGGTTCTGTGATAAATATCCAGAAACAATTGATCATCTTGTATCAGGTTACCGTATCGAATGGCATTTAAGCTAGTAATAAATATTTGATATATTCTTTTTCGTCAACCGTTTTACACGACATAATTCATACACTACGCCAAGAGTCGGTAATCCTCAGCCTCCGCGAAGGATTTTTGTCCAGCCCGCCAACTTTAACACCCGGACAAAAATTAGTTAATTAATTTGTGGAGCAAGGGTCAGAAAAATATGAGTTGGAATTAATCGACTTATAATGCGACAAATTTTTAAAATCAAAATTAAATTCATTGCTGACTTCTACAAGAAATACGTTTTGCCAAACGGAAAATATAAAAACCTATTGAATGGTATCATTATTTGGAAGTACATATTCTTGTGAACAACATTTTCGGAAATGAAATATACTAAAATCGTTTTTCGAACAAGGTTGGTTGATGACCACCTGGAGGATGTTTTGATCCTGTTGCTGACAAATATTTTACTTGATGTGGAGAAGTTATAGAACTATAAGCAGAAACAAGTGTTTCATTAAATAATTTACCATTTTTAACTGTATTTCATTTGTGTATTTGTGAATTTGTATTTGTGTGTTAGTTGTTATCCTGTTATTTCATCAGTAACATAAGGAAACCTGTTTAAATAATATAACATTAACTTTGTTGTTAATTCTTTAAACATCCAGACCAAGGCAGTCTTCTGGACATAGCAGTCAGGGGTCGAGACAAATTATTATAGCAAATTTGATATCAGGACCCTGCTCAAAGACACTGCATAGGGTTCTGGCCCTCTCACTCGAAAAGGTTGCTCGAGTCCTGGCACTACGCATATATTTAGGTTAACTTAAATTCGTGCGTTCGAAAAAAAATACCAGGATGTAGCCAACAGAATCTATTCTAGCATGCAGGCAACTTTGATAGGGACTGAGGCGGTAGAAGGTAACTGAACAAAAACAAAACAGAACTGAACTGGACTGTAAATGTGATCCTGATGTACAACTTCCTGTTCGAAAATTGGTAAAATACAATAAAACATTTAACATTATCTGTCTATATATCTGAGATGAGGTATTATGTACACTATTTACATTATTCGGACTATTGTCCTCACCTGTGTCGCCATATTTATCACAATGTATCGGCCCTTCAGCATCTGTCTATATATCTGAGATGAGGTATTATGTACACTATTTACATTATTCGGACTATTGTCCTCACCTGTGTCGCCATATTTATCACAATGTATCGGCCCTTCAGCATCTGTCTATATTTCTGAGATGAGGTATTATGTACACTATTTACATTATTCGGACTATTGCCCTCATCTTTGTTGCCATATTTATTACAACGTTTCGGCCCTTCAGTATCTGTCTATATTCTTGAGATGAGGTATTATGTACACTATTTACATTATTCGGACTATTGCCCTCATCTTTGTCGCCATATTTATTACAACGTTTCGGCCCTTCAATATCTTTCTATATTTCTGAGATGAGGTATTATGTACACTATTTACATTATTCGGACTATAGTCCTCATCTTTGTTGCCATATTTATTACAACGTTTCGGCCGTTGTGCGCTCCGGCCTTCTGCAGTCGTTTGGATTGTCGAATTGAACCCTTTATTTTCTCAAGAACACATGGCACAGTGCATAAAGTTGTTAGTTAGATCCAGTGACAGGACCCAAAGAGTATGAGTTCAATACCTGGTTAAAGCGGTGGAGAACTTGGAGAGGGGAATTAACAGGAGATAAATGATAACAGACATCCATTAGTGTTTTCATGTCGAAATAGAACAGTCTACTCCAGCGCGCGAAATAAAGGGTTCAATTCGACATTCCAACCACCTGACAAAGGCCAGAGCGTACAACGGCCGAAACGTTGTGATAAATATAGCAACAAAGTTGAGGATGATAGTCCGAACAATGTAAACAGACAGAAATTGCTGTTCGAATTTAACAACACAGGTTTGTATGTCTAATACAATCTCTCTCTCTCCCCTGATCTTTCTCTCTCCCCTCATCTCTCTCTCCTCGTTTCTCCCTCTCCTCTGATCTCTCTCCCTATCTCTCTTCACATCTCTTTCTCCTCTTGTCTCTGTCTTCATTTCTATCTCTCCCTCATCTCTCTTTGTCCTAATCTCTCTCTTCCCTCATCTCTCTCCCTCATCTATCTCTATCGCCTCATCTCATTCTTCTCACCTCTCTCTCCTCATTTATCTCTCTCAACTCATCTAAATTTCCTCTCATCTCTCTCTATCCCCTCGTCTCTCTATGCCCTCGTCTCTCTTTCCTCATCTCTATCTATCCCTTCAACTCACTATCCCTATTCTCTCTCTTTCTATCCACTCATCATCTCTCTCCCACCTTCATCTCTCTCCCCTCATTTCTCTCTCCCCCTCTTTCCTCACCTCTCTCTCCCCTTCCTCTCCTCCTCTCTCTCTCCCACATTTATCTCTCTCCTCTCATTTCTCTCTCTCCCTTTCTCCTCACCTCTCTCTCCTCTCATCTCTCTCTCCCAAATTTATCTCTCTCCCCTCATTTCTCTCCCTCTCTCCTCACCTCTCTCTCCCCTTCATCCCTCTTCTCCTCTCTGTCTCCCACATTTCTCTCTCTCTCCTCATTTCTCTCACTCTCTCTCTCCTCACCTCTCTCTCACCTCATCTCTCTCCTCCTCTCTCTCTCCCACATTTATCTCTCTCCCCTAATTTCTCTCTCTCCCTCTCTCCTCACCTCTCTCTCCCCTTCACCTATCTCCTCCTCCTCTCTCTCTCCCACCTTCATCTCTCTCCTCTCATTTCTCTCTCTCTCTCTCTCCCCACCTCTCTCTCCTCATCTCTCGCTCCCCTCATTTCTTTATCTCTCCAGATTTCTTTTTCTTGTCAACTCTCGTAATCTTTCTCTGTGCATTCATCGTGTCATTTTAATTTATGTATACAACTACAATCGTCACAAAATATAATAATGATCAATAGAAGAATATGTAGCGCCAATTACTTAAATATGCTTCTTGTGCCCGTCTTGAAAGTGTACTTCGTTTTGTATCCCTACGCAATTTCTTTCACTATTTTTACTCCTTTTTTATTTCTTTCTTTCACTTTTTCTTTTTTCTTTCTCGTTTTATTTAATTTTTATTCTTTCAATCTTTGCTTCTTTCTTTTCCATATTTTTCTTCTTCTTTTACTTTTTCTTTCCATAATTTTCAGTATTTCTTTCACTGTTCAGTTTCTTTCATTCACACCTTTATCCGGTTTTTACTTTTTAATTATTTATTTATTCCTTCTTTCATTCATTTTTTATTTTATTCATTCATCTATTTTCTTAATTTCCTTCTAATTTTCAGTTTTTCTTTCACTGCTAAATTTCTCCATTACATTAATTCCTTTTTATCTTTTTTCATTCTTTTTTAATATTTCTTTCTTTATTTATTTCATTGCTTCTTTCTTTCTTTCTTTATTTTCAGTATTTCTTTCAGTTTTAATTTTTTCAGACATGCTTGTGTTGCTTTCCTTCAATCATTTTAAATTTTCTTCTTTCCTTTCTTTCTTTCTTTCTTTTCTATAGTAGTATTAAATTTCTTTCTTTCATTCCTTTTTTCTTTTCTTTCTTCCTTCCTTCCTTTTTTTTTCCTTGTCTCCCCTCTTTGTATGTTTCTTTCTTTTCCTGTCTCCCTTTTTTCTTTCCTTTATTCTTTCCCTATCTCCCTTTTTTCTTTCTTTCTTTCTTTCTTTCTTTCTTTCTTTCTTTCTTACAGGCCTGTATATTTGCCATCGCTTCCCGCCACACGAAGCATTTTTTTTCCTACTATCGACGCCATTTTCGGCAAATTACAGCCATTTATATCCGAGTGCCAATTTCTCATTTGCTCCCCTTTCCTGACCCCAACGACAGAAGGTCACGTGACAGTCGGGTTGCGGCCCTCTACTCAATCACCAGAAAGGCATTCACCATTTTGGAACTTTGGTTTATGTTGGTTTGACGACCCAGGCGAGGGGCCTGGACATTGTCCATGGAGCAAGGCCGACACCCGAGTGGCAGAAGCATGTGACCGCTTTGCTCTGAGGGTTTGGCGTGGTCAGTGGGTGTGCGGCTAATGTTGTTGATACTGAGGCGAGGGGAGAGCGAAGACAAATGTGAGGCAATTATGTGTCTAGGGATTCGGTGAAGAAGAAGAAGAAGGAGGAGGAGGAGGAGGAGGAAGAGGAGAATAATAAGAAGGAGGAGGGGGAGAAGAAGCAGAGGTGGAGGAGAATAAGAAGTAGAAGGAAGAGGAGGAGAAGAAGCAGGGGTGAAGGGGAGGAGAGGAGGAGAAGAAGAAAGAGGAGGAGAAGGAGCAGGGGTGGAGGAGAATAAGAAGAAGGAGGAGGAGGAGGAGAAGGAGCAGGGGTGAAGAAGAAGAAGAAGAAGAAGGAGGAGGGGAGAAGAAGAAGAATGAGGAGGAGGAAGAAGGGGAGGGAGTAGGAGGGGAAGAAGGAGGAGGAGGAGGGAAGAGAAGAAGAAGAAGAAGGAGGAGGAGGTGGAGGTGGAGGAGAAGAAGAAGAAGAATGAGGAGGAGGAGGCAACGATAGCGGTATGTTGTGCGAGCGAGAGAGTTAAGAAAAATCAAAACATATTAAAATGAATTAAATTAAAACACTCTCTCCATCTGTCTCTATATCTCCCCCCCCCATTTCTTTTTTTGTCTATATATGATCTGCAGACGATTGCGTTCAGCCAAGAAACAGACTATCGCTACTCAGTGTTCACGTCTATATTTCCAAACGCTCTATCTCAGAAATTGAGCACTTTTAGCCATAAATATAGCACACCTGAAAAAAATATTCGTTATCTCACGCACAGACACACTCACACACATACACATATACAGGGTGCGATGGATAAATTATCGTCTAAATTACACAAAAATGGAAATAGCACTGATATCTCGTTTTAACAGATATATTAACCAAAATTACACAAAAACATATTGAAATACTAAAGAGTAAATTTATTGAATAAAATCGCCATTGACTTTAACCTCGGCCTCCAGATGACTTCGGAATCTCCTGTAACTCTTCTGGACGGCCTCCTTGTTTAAGTTGGTGAATGCTGCCTTAATCCTTGCCTTCAGTTCATCTTTGGTGTTACAAGGAGTTTTGTTGGTCTCTTGATTAACTACGCCCCACACATAATATACAAGGGGGTTGCAGTCTAGGAAGTTAGGTGCCCAGATCTAAGGGGTCATGTGGTGCAGAAATTGTCTGACGGACATGATTGTGTTCTGCTACTTATGTGGCATGGTGCAGAGTCCTGTTGCCAGACTTAGGGTCTTCCACCCTCTTGAACCAGGGTAGCACTAACTCTTCAATGCCCGTGATGTAGACCTCCGTGTTGAGTCTGAGGCCCTCACCAACAAATTCGGGAGTTCTTTTCTTATCAGAAGAATTAGAGTAATTTTTCCGAGCTGTCCTACCTTCGTAATCACCATTAGACTCATCCAAATCATTCTCGAATTGTCTTCCCTGTCCTCAAATTGACATCCAAACACGCGTATTGAAAATTTCGCTGCGAATGCCAAGGAGAAGAGTATGCTGTTTACAAATTTCTGGCGGAGTAAATTGCGTCATGGAACTTTTTATTACAGACGGTGCCAACTGTCCCTACTATATTGCGCAGTCGATAAAAAAAAAAAACGCAAATGCGCGAAATTAAAATCTATATTCAATCTCCTAGAAATCCGCTGAAATGCTTGGTAAGCTCAAATTTCATCTTCCCACAGGGCCACAGACTCAATACAGAAGCCTACATCTTCTTGAGGAGGGCGTTCTGCCCTGGATAAAGAGGGTGGCTGCTGGAAGACTCCATATCTGGAAACAGGACTCTACACCATGCCACTTAATCAGGAGAACCCAGTCATGGCTGTCTGACAATTTCCACGATCACATCACCCCTTACATCTGTCCACCTAACTCCCCAGATTGCAAGCTCCTTGATTATTGTGTGGGTCGCAGTTGAGCAAGAGACCAACAAAATTCCTTGTAACACCAAATATGAACTAAAGGCAAGAATTATGGTAGCAATCACCTCCTCAAACAAGAAGAACGCCCAGAACAGTGTTAAGAGATTCCGGTTAAAGACAATGACAATTTTATTGAATAAATTTACTATTTAGTATTTCAAGATATTTTTGTGTAATTTTGGTATATATATATATATCTATTAAAATGAGATGTCAGTGTTATTTTCTCTTTTGTGTCATTTAGACGACAATTTATCCATCGCAAACTGTATATATATATATATATATATATATATATATATATATATATATATATATATATATATATTTGGGTAGTAATATTTCTTTTAAACATAGTTCATTGAATATGTGAGACAAGGAACATTTTATTAGTTTTTTATTCAATTTTTCCAGGGATCTTACATTTTTTTTTTGGTGGGGGGTAAGAGTAAGGGGGCACAATTACTTTCTATAATGTTCATGGTTCCAAACGCTTTCGTCTACTTCTTTTAGCTATTTGTAATGTTAGCTTTTCATGTTTTTATGTATAGGAAAACGTATGGTCATTGATATCGTCATATTTTTACTTTATATTCAAGAACAAGGCGCCATTTGTTGAATACGCAGTGAGGCCCGAATTCGTTGATAAATTGCTAATGTTTTCTGATATTGGATCCTGAGTTACTAGTTTGCTATGATAGGGTACAGGAAGCAAAGGATGATCAGACACGGAATTAGCAAAGGAACAGAAGGTTTGTTTTTGTAATACAGGAACAGCCTGATGGGGTGACAGGGTGCATTGAAAAGACGTCAAAGTGAGAAAGCGATCTTGTCAGGCAACAAGATGGTGCAGCAAATGTAGCCGAAGAAATGTGGAGCACATGAGGAGCGAAAAGCCAACACGCGCGAATAATGTTTCTTTTCATCGCTGGGTTATCTATCTATCTATCTATCTATCTATCTATCTATCTATCTATCTATCTGTCACAGTCTGTTCATATCTATCTATCTATCTATCTATCTATCTATCTATCTATCTATCTATCTATCTATCTATCTGTCACAGTCTGTTCATATCTATCTATCCATCTATCTATCTATCTATCTATCTAAACCTATTTAGATTTATCAGACTGGCAAAATTGAGCGAGAAATATCGACACAGTAAGTCAACCGCTTAAAGAGTCTCTCTCTCTCTCTCTATCTCTCTCTCTCTATCTCTCTTTCTCAACCACGCAAACTTTCTCTCTCTCTCGCATACACACTCTTTCTCTCTTCGATAGATATTAACAAACTTAGATGTGATATGAACAATTTTATACATACATACATACATTATATATATATATATATATATATATATATATATATATATATATATATATATTAATGTATATACATATATATGTAGATAGATAGATAGATAGATAGATAGATAGATAGATAGATAGATAGAAAAATGTATGACAATATTTTATGTGTGCATCGTGGGATGACTTTTTCTATCTCAGTCTGCTCATCTATCTATCTATCTATCTATCTCATTCTATTATCTATCTATCTATCTATCTATTACTGAATAGAATAATGAACGATGAGACTTAGGACGCGCACAATACATATAAGGTTTGCGTAGAACAAGTAGTCAATTGCTAGAAGTGAGTCAAGTGAATTCCACGATGAATCCAGTTGCAGGATATCTATCATTTGAAACCTTTAATGTGCAAGAAAGATGTATTTCTATTGGATACATCACGAGACCGCTGGATGAACCTGGGAACAACAGCAATTAAAAGATGGTTCCAGGCTCCTGAAAACCTACAATCTCTCGATCAGAGGCCTTGTTGTCGGATAGAGTGCTAAATAATAATTTAGTAGTCTATTACTTGTTTTTACTGAAGTGTATCTCTACTCGGCTTTCCTGAGGTTGAGCTCAGGGGTCAGATGGAAGACAAAACAAGGAAGTCGATTTTGATTGGCTGAATGAACGTGAGAATGATAGAGATATAGAAAGTTTTTTTTTTGTTTTTTTTTTTTCAAAGAGTTGTTTCTTAAGCATAGACGTGTTTCCTTTCGTGTCTGGAACAGCTCCCCAATGGAAGAAGAGCGAACCTAATGGCTAACGAGAAGATGTATACATCGATTTTAATACAGTAGCTAAATTCCCTGTGTTGAAGTTCTTTTCATCTCTAGGCCCAAAACACCGACATAAAGAGAAGAATGCCACTTGATTATGGAATGGAAACCGTCGACCAAGACCCCACCCAGCATGAGAGGGCTTCACAACAGTAATCTATCGTCATACTCAGGACTGATAGATAGATAGATAGAGAGAGAGAGAGAGAGAGAGAGAGAGAGAGAGAGAGAGAGAGAAAGAGAGAAAGAAAGAGCGATAGTGTAAAAAGATAGATAGATAGATAGATAGATAGATAGATAGATAGATAGATAGATAGATATGAATAGACTGATATAGATAAATAGATAGTGGATATAAGCTGACTGAAATAGATAGATAGATAGATAGATAGAGAGAGAGAGAGAGAGAGACGGAGATAGTGTGAAAATATAGATAGATAGATAGATAGATAGATAGATAGATATGAACAGACTGAGATAGATAGATAGATAGATAGATAGATAGATATGAACACTCCGAAATAGATAGATAGATAGATAGATAGATAGATAGATAGAGAGAGAGAGAGAGAGAGAGAGAGACGGAGATAGATATGAACAGACTGAAATAGATAGATAGATAGATAGATAGATAGATAGATATGAACACTCCGTGATAGAGAGAGAGAGAGAGAGAGAGAGAGAGAGACGCAGATAGATATGAACAGACTGAAATAGATAGATAAATAGATAGAGAGAGAGAGACGGAGATAGTGTAAAAAGATAGATAGATAGATAGATAGATAGATAGATAGATAGATAGATATGAACAGACTCAGATAGATAGATAGATAGATAGATAGATAGATAGATATGAACACTCCGAGAAAGATAGATAGAGAGAGAGAGAGAGAGAGAGAGAGATGAACAGACGGAGATAGATATGAACAGACTGAGATAGATAGATAGATAGATAGATAGATAGATAATTATGTTATTATATATATGTAATATGATAAGCTGCGTAACATTTAAGAAGACCAAAGAATTTAATGTAAATATTTCTAATAAAAGCAAATATTCTAAACTGAAATTCCAACCACCAAAAATTGTCATAACTTTCTGGACAATCTAATTCTTGCCTTTTTGACTGTGTCGGTGATGAAAGAGATTAATTTAATTATGACATTGTAACAATAATCTTATTATCGTAGAAATAGAAAAGAGAAAAAAAGTATAAAAACATAAATGACAGATAAAATAAAAAAATATTGAGATAACCAACATGAAGAAGGAAAAGACAAAAAAAAAAAAAAAAAAAAAAGCAATCGACGGAATAAAATTTTAAAAAATCGCCATCTTTGCCATTTTAAATTCGCCATCTTGGCTACGAACGTTGGTTTTGAAAGCCATTTTTGTCTTGCGGTTAAATATTTTTGCTGGAAAATCGAATTAAACTTTAATTAGGCTCGTTGTTTCAATTGATAACCACATCACGACACACAGACAGTAGACAACATTTTCTAGAGAGGGGTGGAGAGCAACAAATAACTGAAGATTTGTAGACTTCAGCAAACTTGTCTTCCTCATACTTTATCATTTAACTGAGATTTAAAAAGATTCTTTTTCGCCAGTCCTCCAAGCAAGAAATCGAGCCTGCTCAGAAAATCAGCTTAAAGTTCCTTGTATGTTAGCTGAATTCGAATACTGGTTTCAAAGTGAAATTCTCAACGACTTCGACAACGGTTAGTTTAGTTTCGATATTGACCAAACATAGAAATATTTATTCTTTTATTAGTATCGACATCGTCATGATGATGATGATCATCATCATTAGTCCCATGGCCGAGTGTGGTCGTAGGGTAGCTGCGTAGTTGAACACCTGACCAATTCACTCCACATATCTGGATTGAAAACCGTGGAGATATTCATTCATGCGTAGCGTGTCTTGGGAATCTAAACCTGACGGAATCCATCTCTCTACAGCCGATGACGTCCAGACACGTGGCCGTTAATTCCACCGGAAGTTGGAAAACGTTCGCCCTGGCAGTTGACTTCAGACTAGGAAGACCCCCTCCAGCCAGCGATGCCGCGACTATATCCATAGCTATAGATCCTAGTCTACTCCCTTTTATTAGATAGCTGTAGGACCCTACAGAGGTTCATCTGCACTTTCATAGGTTTTGTCTTTAATCCTGCAGTGTGCCTAGATACCATTATCACCAGAAAAGCCCGGTGGCGGAACCAGTTCAGTCCCCGATGATACAGCCATGCGGCAGGTAGTATTATGTTACATGATACCAGTAGAATGCATCATCATCATCATCTTGCGGCCTCAGCCGAGATTGAACTCACCAATACTTTGATTGGTGTTCATAATCTTGTCAAATAGCTGAATTCTTGATGCTTCGCTAGGGCTATCAAGTGTGCTTTTTATCGTGACACCAACACTAAATGGATTGCCAACCAAGGCTCAGAGAGACTCCATTCACCCTCATCTAAGAGCAGGTTTTTCTTCTCCTAGACCAGTTGCCATCCAAGGCTATAGAACCCAGTTAGTCCTGCTATTTACCCATAGCTGGAGGGAGAAGAAAGAGGATTCACACATATAATGCATAGACTGATCTGATATACCGTATATAGACCTTTGAAAACCTGATTTTGAAGCTATTTGACTACAGTAAATGGATATATATTTTGGTCAAAAGCGCAGCCAGTGCCAGCAGTGCATATGCTAATCTTATATCTTATGCATGATGCAACCTCCTCAAATTAAGCTTAAAAATTAGATCTTTGAAAATCCATATGCTAATTTTATATCTCATGTATGATGTGACCCCCTAAATATTAGCTTCAAAATTAGGTTTTCAAAAGTCGCATGCTACGCAAGTATATCCGGTAAATAGCGTAGCGAGGGCCAGCAGTTTATACGCTAATTTTATATCTCATGCTAGCAGCATGGCCCGGTGTTGCCCGTGCTTGATTCAAAAATCGTACGACTCATACAGTAATCGCTATCACTTGACTTAAAATATTTTTGCCCTTCCTTGCCTTTAAAGGAGTGCCCTTTGCCGTGCTAATGTTGCTACATGCCTTACTTCTCACACTGCCAACTTTTTCTAAGCTTTATAGTAAACATTAAATCTGTTACGAAAAAAGAACTAAACAAAATAAACACAATACGATCAGCTTTAAAAAACCGGAAAAAAACATTTTTAAGGGTTGACCGATTGTCGATTTGCACTCTGTTTGTGGGGGGGCTGCTCAGAGTTGAAACTTCACATGATGACTCCCAATGGCCTCTTCATAAATCCGCTTGGTTTTCGCTAAAAACCGACATGCGGTTCAGACGCAATCTGGGCGTATCGGTTTTCGGGGTTTTATCGATTTTCCGCGCTGTTTAGGGGTCCGTGGTCATGAAACTTCTGGACAACACTTCTAATGGTAGACTCTAAGAGGGTGTCAAATTTGGTTGAAATGCAATCATTCCTTCTGTAAGCAGAATTTTTTCGATTATCGATTTTTTCGATTATCGATTTTTTCGATTATCGATTTTTTCGATTATCGATTTTTTCGGAACCTGATTCCGAACTCAAAAATCGGGCTCCGTCATATCCTTACGGCAGCCATTTGCAAACTTGTGTTGAAAACCGCATCGAAATCGGGTGAGGAATGCGGCCTGGGCGAGGTAACAACGCCCACGACAGACATATAGACAGACAACATGAGAAATATAGATGGTAGATATGATCCTCCTTAAAATTAACTTCAAAATTCGGTCTTCAAAAATCGCATGCTACGCAAGTATATACAGTAATTTATAAGTATACTTTGAGAAAAAAAATAATCAAATTGTGTATGTCTATGACAAAATAACCTGACGAAGTCCACCTCTCTTCAAATTTATTTTAAATTCAGATTTTTCTTTCTCTTAAACTGGTTGCCATCCACATAGAACCCAGTCTGCTCTACTATTTAACCCATACGTGGAGGAAAATACGAGTTTTTTTAGCTAGATTACCCTCTGTCCCTATTACCTTCAATTCCCCAAGTCCTCTTTCCTCAATATGCGTCCCAGAGATTTGAACAACCTATCTCTTATTCTAAATATAAGTGTTCGTTTGTATTTTTCTTAAAACTTCCTTACTGCTTGCATGATTCGTCCATGGTATTCTCAACATCTTTCTGTAGAATCAGATTTCTGTTGCTTGTAGTCTTCTCTTCATCTGGGAGGAAATTGTCCGACATTCACTACCATGGAGGAGGATTGATATTACATAGTCGTTCAGCAATCTTTTCTTTGTTTCTAACGAAATTTTCCTCTTTCTTAATATATTGTTTAGCTTTTTAAAGGCTTTTTTCGCTCTTCTAATCTTCGGATTTCGGTGTCACCATTTCCATCCTCTGTGATGGCAGTTCTAAGCGTGATTATATTTGCTTTAGTTTGGTTTGTTTTACGGCATATCAATCTCAATGGGTTATTTAATGCCGATAAGATTTTTATTGCTGGCAATATTTTTTTTCAAAGATGTATTGCTGCTAATATATATATATTTTCCCCCAAAATGTTGGTAATATATTTTTCAGAAATATATTGCTGGTATTAAAACCTATTTTTATACTTTCATAGTGCTTTGACCCACTTTGTGGGGGTTACCTATTTGCCCATAGCTGGGGCCCTGACAGGTGCTACCACCCATGTCAGAGTTGACCTGGGAACATCAGCAATTAAGAGGTGATTCGACGCTCCTTAAAACCTTCTGATCAAAGGACTTGCTGTCGGATGTAGTTTATCATCTTACCCAGGACACTATTTGCTTGAGCGTTTATTTTTCCATTTTAAGTATCCTCTTCATAAATTAGCTTTAAATTCTTAGTAGTAACCAAGAAATTCTCAACTTCTAACATGTCAGATAATCATTTTGACTTGATCGAAACGAATTGTGGGTTCATTTTGCTTTTATTAATGTATTTTTCAATTTGAGAGATAATTGAATAAATTTTCCCAAAATTTATTTAAAATTAAAAAATAAGAAATTCTTTAAAGCTTTCTATTGATTGAGTGATTTGTTTTTTACGGGTTATCAACCTTTTTGGGGTTATTTAAGGCCGAAACATATTCTGAATTGTAAGGATAATATTGTTTTGCGAGTGGGTATTGCATTAACTTGTATAAGAGTAATAATGTTATTTTTCGGATAAAAATCCAAATATTTAACCCATAGCTGGGGGGAAGTTTTTTAATGCATTTCTCAAGTGTATTCATGTTTAAGTAAAAGTAACGAAATTCACTTGAATTCGAACTCTGTTCTCTGATTTCTCATTAGGAACCAATATCTATTCCATCACTGGCACACATCCTTGTATCTCTTGAATGGGACATGGACTAATCAAATAATGGATTGTGTTTAGGTTGCTTTTTTTTTTCTTTTAAGCTATCCCCTGCGAAAAAAATGATTGTATGATGTCCGTAGTATTGTGTCAAAAAGAGGTCGAAGGTTAATTAGGCCGTTAGCTAGAAGAATCAGACAGTTCGCCTGAGTTCCTAAACTTTGGAACAACAGAACAACAATTTGATAGCAAATATTTCAACTTGAAATATTATAACCTGCCCAACCCTATCGAATGCCTTCGAGATTACCAAAGAAAGAGTCCAAGCTTCACCATTCTTATCTAAAGCTTGATAGACTCGTAACAATAATTGTTAATACATCAGCAGTTGACTTAGAGAAACGAAAGCTATATTGCTTATCTGAAAAAGCCCCTCTGAGGTGAGATGCATAACCGATTCAGAGTTGATTAGGGCCTCTAGTAATTTGTCAAAAAGAGGTCGAAGGTTAATTAGGTCGATAGTTAGGAGGCTCAGACGCTTCGCCTGAGTTCATAAACATTGGAAGAACAGAAACAGGAAAGCAAGAGACAGTCAGTTATTTATTGAAGAGTTTAGAGAGAACAGGAGCCAGTTCGAGAGCACATTTCATAGGAACTATTATAGGGATACCATGAGATTCACATGCTTTGTTGGGATCCAGTTTAGAGATGATGGCGGAAAAATGAACGGATCTTATCACTCAATAGATACTCAGTTCTAAGTGGAAAGTTAGGCAAAGATGAGTCAAGTGTAGAATGGGAAGAGAATTTACGAGCAAAACATTCTATTTTATCAACAGAGGATTTATCACCTCAAATTGAGTGAAGAGAAGAGGGATAGAAGACTTAAACTTATTTAACACACTATTACAGAGACGCCAGTAGTCACGAGAACCAAACTTGTCGGAGGTTATAGGGTGGCTCATTCTATTATCAAACAAAACCTAGCCTTTTTGAGGAGACGTTTACAATCGTTACGAGAAGACACAAAAAGGTGTCCGTTGTGATCGGAACTATCACGCTTGCACATCCAAAAAAAGTGATTCTTGTGGGCTATAGCGGTTGAAAACAAAGAAGATTGTTGTTTCATCTGGTATTTGCAAGAAGGTACAAAGGCATCAATTCTGACATTAATCCAAGAAGAAACCTGTGTGGCAACAATTCTCAATAGAAAATTCAAGAATATCAATCGACGGAGCGTCTTAAAGGAAGTCACGAAATGAATCCCAGTCAGCACGCTGGTAACAGAAATAAGTCTTGTGAATAGAAGGTTCTTTTCTAATAGACAACTCAAAAGTAATATCATAAGATAATACCGTATGATCCGAATTGCCAAGAGAACAGAGTCGTGATGTTCCACAAGAGCCAGGAGAGTAGGTGAGAAAGAAATTAAGTAAAGAAGGATGTTGATCAGATGTTCATAGGGAAATGAATTGAGAAATCCACAGCACGAAAAACATATTGAAAGTCTGAAGAACTGGCAAAATCAGTAATATTAGAAAGTCTTACAGCACTTGATATGATGAACATTAAAATCACCACCAAACAAAAAATGTTCGCCGATGAATGTAGAGAGAAAGAAAGAGTCAATTCTATATTATCAGAAATTTGGTTTGGTATATTACAGTCCTGAGAAGAAGGAGAGCGATAAGGAAAAAAAGACGTGGAAAAGTTGTCATGAAGGAAAACCATGTTTTTCTTAACTCATTACCTGCCATGAGTCCCATTTGGGGATCTGTTAAAATTAAACCCACTCCATGTTATTCCTTGTATTTACATTGAATTGCTTACATACATTGCATTTGCAGAGATATATTTTACAACACTTAGACTTTAAACTTTTTATTATTAGCCATAAGAAGACACTTTCTGTCGTAATGTTACGTTTCACGAGTAGAAAAATAATGACTATTTTGAAGAGTATTTTTATTATTTCTATTCAATATTATTTTTTGATTTTTTATAAACATTTGATGTTCTAGTTTCTATAAAAACAAAATTGGTAACTACTGAAATTAAACATAAGGAATAAATAAACCCCTAAGACACCTAAGTCTGGGCTAAAAATACGCATTAAAAAAAATTGGCAATTAATCAGTTAATCCACTGTGTACGCTGCCCTTGCCGAGCAATAATTAGGGTTAATTTAATCTTAATTGCCACGTATGATTAGCAATTACGATGATATATTCGACATCACAATTCAAACATTACTCATGACTTAATGCGTATATTGGACCTATTTTGCCAGTAATGTTTGCATGAGTTCCTGGGGTATGACAATCTCTTTCTTCCTGATTTTCAATGCATTCCTTAGCGAAATAACTAACAATGCATTTGCATTATGCATATAATAGTCTATGTTATGAGTAATGTTTGCTTTAATTAGGGCTGGTGAATGGGTCTCAAGCAAATACTATCTATAATCCGAGTCTGCCAACTTAACTACATTTCAATTTTCATGAGGTTGTTTTCATATAAAATACAAATTTTTATTGTAATCTAATTATGTACAATAATGGATCATATGCAATATAGGTGAACAATTCAACTAGAAAAATTGGAAATAAATCCAATGTATCTGAATACAAATTAGAGACATGTCATCATAGAAAATCTTAAATAAATCAACAATGTTTTGCGGCAATTTCTAACATCAACTTGAGATTTTTCTTGTTAAAAAGTTGAATAATTTTGACAGATTTCACATTAAGAATAAAAATTAGAGATTTTTTAAAAAATGTTTTTTCCAGATTTAGCATGACAAAAAGAAATTTACGGATTTAGACAAAAAAAAAAAGTTCCCAGACTGATGTCAAATCCGCGATAACATTTCATACTTTAATAGTTTAAATATAGGTAATAAAAGCAAATATTGATGAGATAGCGAAGATGATAAAACACTGCGCAGAGCCCACAAACAACCTATCCCCACCACCACCTCCACAAGGTCGGTGGTTGTACGTGCCGGCCCTGGCTTTAATTCTTGACCACTGGTAATCCCTTTCTTCATGATTTTAAAGGCTTTTTTTTTTATAATGAAAGCCACCGCTAGGTATTTACATGATACATATAATACTTTCTCTCTATATTTCTGAGATGAGGTATTATGTACACTATTTACATTATTCCGACTATTGTCCTCATCTTTGTTGCCATATTTATCACAACGTCTCGGCCCATCAGTATCTGCCTATATTTCTGAGATGAGATATTATGTGCACTATTTACATTATTCGGACTATTGTCCTCATCTTTGTTGCCATATTTATCACAACGTTTCGGTTCTTCAGTATCTGTCTATATTTCTGAGATGAGGCATTATGTACACTTTTTTCATTATTCGGACTATTGTCCTCATCTTTGTTGCCATATTTATCACATCGTTTCGGCCCATCAGTATCTGTCTATATTTCTGAGATGAGGTATTATGTACACTATTTACATTATTCGGACTATTGTCCTCATCTTTGTTGCCATATTTATCACATCGTTTCGGCCCATCAGTATCTGTCTATATTTCTGAGATGAGTTATTATGTACCCTATTTACATTATTCGGACTATTGTCCTCATCTTTGTTATATATTTATCACATCGTTTCGGCCCATCAGTATCTGTCTATATTTCTGAGATGAGGTATTATGTACACTATTTACATTATTCGGACTACTGTCCTCATCTTTGTTGCCATATTGATCACATCGTTTCGGTCCTTCAGTATTTGCCTATATTTCTGAGATGAGGTATTATGTACACTATTTACATTATTCGGACTATTGTCCTCATCTTTGTTGCCATATTTATCACATCGTTTCGGCCCATCAGTATCTGTCTATATTTCTGAGATGAGGCATTATGTACACTTTTTTCATTATTCGGACTATTGTCCTCATCTTTGTCATCATATTTATTCCGAAGAATGTAAATATAAATAATTACAATAGTTCCTCTGAGAATAGACTTACTTTATTTTTGATACCTATAATAGAATTCCAGCCAAATGTTAATCCTTTTTCTTCATCAGGATCAAATGCAGTTTTATAATAAAATCATTTCCCAGTGTATAATTACTAGTAAAATAATTTCCACTTAATGTTTTAAACTATGTTTGGAATTAAATAGAATGCATTTGATTTGAAATATGGCCACGAGTGGCTTAAGAAGGAATGAAGAAAAGAAGGAATAAAAGAAGACAGAAAAGAAAGAAGAAATATGAATGAATGGATTGAATAAGAGAGAGAAAAATACAAATGAAAAATACAAATGAAAAAAAAAACGGAAGAATGAAGGAAGAAAAAAGAAGAAAAGTAGAATTCATGAAATGAAGAAAAAAAAGAAGGAATGATGTAAGAAAAAAGAAGAAAAATAAAAATGCAGGAATGAAGGAAAAAAAGAAGAAAAGGAGAAGTGAAGAAATGAAGAAAAAAAAGAAAAGAGAAAATGAGGAATGAAGTAAGAAAAAAGAAGAAAAATAAAAATGGAGGAATGAAGGAAAGAAAAAAAAGACGGGAATGAAAACGAAAAGAATACATGAAGAATGGAGTAAATGAAGGAAAAAAGGAAATAATGAATGAAAAATGAAATGGAGTAATGAAGGAAGGAAGAGGAGGTAAAAAGGAAAGTGGTGTATGTCGGGTTAAATGAGGGAAAGTAGGAATGAAGAAAAAATAGGAAGAAAAACGAATGAAGGTAAATTAACGAATGAAAAACAAGGGAATGCATAAAGGAATGATTTAATGAAATAAAAGAATGAAAGAAAAAGAAAGAAAGAAAGAAAGAAAAAAAGAAGGGAAAAGGGAAGGAAAGGAGGAAAGAAAGAAGGGATATAGGGAAAGAAGGAAATGAAAGAAAGAAGGAAAGATAGAGGAAGAAGGAAGGAAAGAAAGAAGAAAAGAATGAAGGAAAGAAAGAAGGGAGACAGGGAAAGAAAGAAAGAAAGAAAGAAAGAAAGAAAGAAAGAAAGAAAGAAAGAAGGGAGATAGGGAAAGAAAGGAGGAAAGAAAGAAGGGAGACAAGAAAAGAAAGAAACATACAAAGAGGGGAGACAGGGGAAAAAGAAAGAAAGAAGCAAAGAAAGAAGGGAAGAAAGAAGAAAAGAAAGAATGGAGATAGGGAAAGAAGAAAGAAAAGAAAGAAAGAAAGAAAAGAAAGAAAGAAAGAAAGAAAAAAGGGAAGAAAGAAGAAAAGAAAAAAGGGAGACAGAGAAAGAAATAAAGAAAGAAAGAAAGGAAGAAAGAAGAAAGAAGAAAGAAAGAAAGAAGGACAGAAAGAAGGAAGTAAATAAAGAAGGAAAGAAAGATGGAAGTAAAGAAAGAAGGAAAGAAAGGAGGAAAGAAAGAAGGGAGACAGGAAAATAAAGAAAGAAAGACAGAAAGAAAGAAGGGAGATAGAGACAGAATGAAGTAAAGAAAGAGGAGGGATATGGAAAGAAGGAAGCAAGGAAAATAGAAATAAAAAAAAACAATGTGTGAATAAAAAAGTAAATGATTGAATAAATGAAAGAAGGAAATAATAAAAGAAGAAAAAATGAATAAAGAAAAAAATGATGGAATGAATAGAGGAATGAAGGAAGAAAGAAACGTATAAATTAAAGACAAAGAAAAAAAGAAGGAAAAATAGAAGGAAAGAGTATAAATTGGAAATGAAAAGAATAGCGACGAAGAAAACAAAGGCTTAATCAGACGCACTCAAGTTAATACTTACCTTCTAAAGAAAACCACTTCGCATTAGCAACACCAACACTCCACCATCACCAAAAAAAAAAGGGGGGGAGTAGAAATCTTTTCCTACAACTTATAAGAAATGCGGATGAAACCTTTTTTAAGACAAAAAAAAAATCATAAAAAAGCACGCAAACGTTTTTGTTTCTTAACAAAATCGCTTATATGTTTAAAAGAAAAGGCAGACAACTTAATTCCAACAAATAAAAAAAAATAAAAAAAAATAATTAGAAAAAAAATAAAAATACGACAAACATAAAAGAAAGAAAAAAAATAAAAATAAAAGGAGAAAAAAACATGGCGGGTAAGGCTAACATCGACTTCTTTGCCCGTGGAATAAAAACCGGAAACAGCGATCACATGATTGCTCTTCCGGCGTCGCCAAGCCAATATTTTGGACGGATAAGAAAATAAAATGTCTTCTTTTATTGCTCTGCTTAAAATTAACGAGATTATCGCTCTTAGTTCGAGGGAGTTGAATTAAGGTCTAACATAAAATGGATGACGGGTAGCTCTGGAAAAGTACACCAGAGACATACAATCGATATACACAGACATGGACATTATATATATATATATATATATATATATATATATATATATATATATATATATATATATATATATATATATATATATATATATATATATATATATATAGAGAGAGAGAGAGAGAGAGAGAGAGACAAAGAGGAAAAAAAGGAGAGAGTGATGCGCACGTGTATGTTTGTATGTATACTAGTATATACGACACCGGACATTTATATCTTGGTATGTTTTTACCTTTCATGCAATAATTCTTGTGATATAAGTTTTGGAAACTTTTTTCTCGAAGTCCACTTGAAAATATCCATCTATGTACGAGAATGGGGCACTTCGACGTAGTATAATGTGTAGCAAGCAAGATAAATTACCACTGAATAGGGAGTTCGATCCTCACTGGGCGCCCCATACTTTGAGCCTTGTGTCACATCTGAGCTAAGCTTAGAAAATCGCCATCTATGTACGAACGAAACGTTAAAACAGTTCTTCGCATAAGTAACTTTCCAAGATCGGAAAAAATGACCAAATATGACAATTTCTTTAAATCAATTCTTGGTTGGACTAAGAGAACTTTTAGCATTACCATTTATTTATTTATTTATTTATTTATTTATCTATCTATCTATCTATCTATCTATCTCAGTCTGTTCATATCTATCTATCTATCTATCTATCTATCTATCTCAGTCTGTTCATATCTATCTATCTATGGTGCAAGAGTTAGCAAACTAAATTTAAACTTATGTCACACGTTCAATCCTCATGTGATGCCCGATATTTTTAGCCTTGTGCCAAACATAAGTTAAGATCATTTGTATCATAAAAAGATAAATGCCTTTAATAGTTGTAAATTTATTCCTGAATGTTCTAAAAAAATTCAATTGGTGAAAATCGCTCAAGCAAAAATTTGAAACTATCTTTCAAAAGTGAATTTCAAAGTAATGGGATTAATGAAAGAACTACGGCAATATCACGTTAAGCAATGTTGAGCCTGGTCAGTACCTAGATGGGTGACCACTTGGGAATACCAGGTATGGGTGGTGTAATCGATAACAGCTTGGAATTAGAAATCGTAGACCCAAGTTCCAATTCCAGTCGGGTTCTTTATATATTCATTTACTCTTAAATGTCTTTGGAAAATAGGGATGATTCCACCTCTTCTTCCCCACATATGGGTTAATTAATCGAAATTTTCTAAGCGTTTCACGCCAAGCAAGGCGGGAAGCCACTAGGACGCAAGGGGTTACAGAAAATTTGGAGCAAGCTCAGATAGGAGTGATAGAAGAAAGGATGAGGAGAAGGGTAGTGGATAGATCAAGGCAACTGGAGATGTCGACTGACATTACATTTGAATAGCTGGAGATTATAGCTCTCAGGGAAACTGGAATAGTGAAGCGAGTTCCTCAGGTGAGAGGTGCGAGACATGAAGCGATTAGGGTAGAAGAGACGGCTACATTTAGGAGTTTCGACAGTGAAGGGGTGAGAGCGGGATGCCAGCCTCGTAGGGCGCTTGAACTCATGAAGTCTTGGAACCAGCAAATGCAGCTCCTCGGAGCAATTGCCTTGAAAGTATTTGTAAAACAGACAGGGAGAGGCGACGACGCGTCTGTGAGAAGGTGAGTGCAGACGAGATGCCAGATCAGGGCCAATTATATTGCATATCCGTCTCTGGAGCCTATGAAGAACCCCGAGGCAAACAGTAGGGGCTCCAGACCACATATGGCAGCAATACTCCATGCAAGGGCGAATGGTTGATTTGTAGATCTGGAGGATCGATTCCGGGGAGAAAAATTTCCTGCCGCGGCACAGGGAGCCAACTTTCCTTGCGGTGGACGAAGCAATTGACTCAATGTATTTGTTCCATCTTACGTCAGCCGTCAACGTGAGACCGAGCAGCCGCAGAGAGTTGCTCTCGAGAAGTTGAGCGTCAGACATTCTAATGGAGGGCAGGGAAGGATCTCTGTGGTGATTAATAGAGAGCAGTTTTGTTTGTGAAGCATTAAAGTTGACCAGCCAATTCCTGCCCCAGTTCACAATCGATTGGAGGTCCTTTTCGAGACGCACGGCCAGGTGAGTTTTTTTCAGTGACACTGGATTTGTTTTTGAGGCAGGAATAAATTGTGGTGTCATCCGTGTAGATGCCAACTTGGGAATTTATGGCGTCAGGAAGGTCATTTATATAGATAAGGAATAGAGTGGGGCCTAGGATGGAGCCTTGAGGAACACCTGCGTTCGTTGGATAGGGACTGGAGGAGAATCCGTTGAGAACGACCTTCAATTCACGGTTTGACAGGAATGATTGTATTAGGTCAAACAATCGACCCGTAATGCCATAACCCTGGAGCTTGAGAAGAAGGCCGGCATGCCAAACCCTATCAAATGCTTTGGAGATGTGTAGGGCCACGGCACGAGCTTCCCCGTTATTTTGAAGAGCTCGGTAGACAGTTTCAGTGATGGCCGTAAGCACATCAGCTGTAGATCGGGCAAAGCGGAAGCCATATTGCTTGTCTGAGAGCAGATCATGGGATGTGAGGTGCTTAACCACATCGGTATTGATTAGGGCCTCGAAAACTTTGCCGAAGAGGGGTAGGAGACTGATAGGACGGTAATTAGAAGGGTCAGAGGGTTGCCAGAGTTCTTGAAGACAGGAACAATCGAAGAGGACTTCGAGCAGTCAGGAAAACAAGATTCCTTGAGACAGTAGTTGTATAGTTTAGAAAGGGCGGGCGCCAGTTCAGGCGCGCATTTCTTCAAGACAATGGCTGGTATCCCGTCTCCACCACTCGCCTTGTTGGGGTCTAAATTGGAGATAACGCCCAATACCAAAGACGGGGTTATGTGTAACCCACTCAGTTCTAAGAGGGAAGTCGGGTATGGGTACACCGGAAGAGTCGAGTGTAGAGTTGAATGAAAATTTCCGAGTAAAGCATTCAGCCTTGTCGGTAGAGGATGTCAGGACTTCGAACTGGTTGAATAAAGGAGGTATAGAGGGTTTGCAATTGTTCAATACGCTCTTGCAGAGACGCCAATAATCTTTGGACCCAAATTTGCGAGATGCAATACGTTCCTTCATTCGAGCCGCAAATAGTGATTTAGCATCGTTAAGGACACACTTACACTCGTTACGGGCGGTGGCAAAGAGACGTCTATTGCAGTCAGACATGTCGCTATGGAATAGTTGAAAGAAGTGGTTCCTCTGGACGATGGCGGCTGAGCAAGCAGCGGAGAACCAGGGTGAGGAGCGCGACTTGAGCCTATATTTCCTTGAGGGGATGAAAGCGTCGATTCCAGCTTTAACCCAGGATGAGACCTCAGAAGCACATTCTTGGACGGGGAGCGTAACGACACGATCCCAGAACTCCTTGTCACCTCCAAAAATTCTTATAATCTAAGAATATTTCCTGGTTAAGAAACCTAAGTTTAGAAATAACATCATGATATTTTCTCTGAACACTTCTGTAAAAATAAAATAAAATAAAAATAAAAATGATTCTACCTAAGATCCATTATTTACATAATTCGGACAATTATCCTCATCATTGTCGCTGCGGGTGAAATATAAAGGGGAGACAGGCCGCCCCCGTAAGGTAAGGCTTCAAGAATACCAGAAAGCTGTAACACGAGGGGAAGTGTAAAATCAGGTTAGATCCCATGACAGGACCCAAAGAGTGTGAGTTCAATACCCGGTTAAGGCAGTGCAGAACTTTCAGTGGGAAACTAACAGGAGATAACTGATAACTGACATCCATTAAACATGGCACGTGGAACTAGACAAGTCAACCCCAGTGAGCGAAATAAAGGGTTCAGTTCAACGGAGCGTACAACGGCCGAAAGGTTGTAATAAATATGGCGACAAAGATGAAGACAATAGTCCGAATAATGTAAATAATGTACATAATACCTCATCTCAGATATATGGACAGATACTGAAGGGCCGAAACGTTGTAATAAATATGGCGAGAAAGATGAGGACAATAGTCCGAATAATGCAAATGATATACATAATACCTCATCCCAGAAATATAGACAGCTACTGCAGGGCCGAAACGTTGTAATAAATATGGCGACAAAGATGAGGACAATAGTCCGAATTATGTAAACAGTGTACATACTACCTCATCTCAGAAATATAGACAGATACTGAAGGGCCGAAACGTTTTAATAAATATGGCAACAAAGACGAGGACAATAGTCCGAATAATGTAAATAGTGTACATAATACCTCATCTCAGAAATATAGACAGATACTGAAGGGCCGAAACCTTTAATAAATATAGTGACAAGGATGAGGACAATAGTCCGAATAATGTAAATCGTGTACATAATACCTCATCTCAGAAATATAGACAACTACTGAAGGGCCGAACCGTTGTAATAAATATAGCAACAAAGATGAGGACAATAGTTCGAATAATGTAAATAATGTACATAATACCTCATCTCAGAAATATAGACAGATACCACCTAAGATCACACCCATTTTAAAGCCCTTCGTAAGGTGTGTGCTATAGTTGTGAAAACTATTTTTTTGTATTTCTTTAAGGTTTGGGTTACCAGGAATCCCTTCAATTAGTCATACAAGATGATCAATTGGTTCTTGATATTTATCACAGCATCTGTATTTCGGATTAGCACAATATTTTGATTGGTATTTTCTATTTATTAAGCATTTGTCCTGAGAAGCAAGGATAAAATCTTCGGTTTCATCTTTTAACCCTGCCACCGATGGGTACAGTGTTTGTCCACATTAGCTTTTTTTGGTACGAACAGAGTATTGGTCATGAAGACGCTTATCGTTTCTGTATTTGGTACACATTGCATTTGTTTTTTTAGGTTACTTGCCGCCGTAGTAGGTGTATTATGGCTTATTTGCTCTTCTTCACTCGAAATTCCCTTTTGGATTTGTTAGCTTCCTTCATTACTTGATTATTATTATTATTATTATTATTATTATTATTATTATTTCCTTTGATTTCTCGTGTGTACACATTTCGTTCCGGGTCCCGCTGAATCCATATTTAACAAAGCTAAGAAAGACTACGAAACAACCCTAAAATATAGTGGATTCTCAGTAACACTCACATACCCACCACAGAACTGAAAAAAGGTCAACAGGAAAAGAAATATCATATTGTTCAACCCACAGTACAGCAGAAATGTAAAAACATACGTAGGAAAAATATTCTTCAAAATCTTACACAAACACTTCCCGGAATCAAGCACCCTACACAAAATATTCAACAAAAACACAGTAAAAACCAGCTACAGTTGCACCGAGAACATGGTACAAATAATAAAAAAGCAGAAGAGGAAAACTATCAACAAACCACACGAACAAATTAAACCCACCTGTAACTGCAGAATGAAGAACGAATGTCCCTTAAACGGTAATTGCTTACAAAACAACGTAATATACCAAGCCACGACAAAATCACCAGATAATAAAGAAACAGTATACATAGGAGTAACTGAAGGACCCTGGAAACAAAAAAAAATTATGCACACAAAACATCTTTCACAAATAGTAAATATTCGAACAGCACAATGCTTTCTAAATATATCTGGGAAATTAAAAGCAAAATTCACATAACACCAAAAATATCTTGTAAAATAAGGAAAAGATCATCAGTCGGCAACAACCAATCCAAAACTTGCAAACTTTGCTTGGAGGAAAACATTAGCTATCATTACCTTCCCAGACCAAAATAAAATATTAAAT